ATAATTTTAAATATTATTTTTTGTAAGAGAACATAGTCTACAGTAAAATAATAAATCTAAACATTTAAAACTATGATTATGTAACCCAGTTAACATTAAAAATATTAATTTATATTAACAAAAGAAAGAAAACAAATTAGTAAATATCTTCTTATTTTAAATAACAAAACAGTAATCTATAGATATTGCTATTTTTTTGTTGAAGGCGTTATTTACAAACATCTAAAACCATTGTTAACAAGGCAATGAAATATTTGATAGCTCCAATATCGTTACATTTTATTACCAACGAATTTCAGGATTTAGTTGAAACGAGATCGTCATGGCGTTTTATGGGAATCGCATTAAATTTAAGAAAAATTGACAACAATCTTGTATCAATAGAAAAAACTTACTTCATATTTTAAATACTCTTAAATACGAATCTTTGGATCCATTGCTACTACGTATCTCCAAAAAGGCTTAACAGATTTCTATTAAGACACATATTAAGAACGTATACTGGATGAACACATGGGTTTTATCTTTTCTTTTCCTGGAAGAATACATTTTTTTTAGTTCTGCGCGGGAAAAAGCTTTTAAATTTGTAACGTCATATTTCTTACAAGTAATTGAATTATTTTTCACTCCATTATGTGATGTTTGTAACAGAAATTCGAAACTATATCAGACCAGTTTCCATTGTAAAATACAATATTAACAATATTAACATGAGTTTAACAAACATTTCTCAGTTAAAGTTCAGTACAATTTTTTATACAGTGACAAACATATTTTACCTTAAAGCAAATCAAATGTTTCTCTATTTCTAGTTCTGAAAGCATAATTCTAACAATCAAATATAACAGTTCGCCTGAATTTAGCTTTATTGCATACCTCTTCAGGATCCGAATTCAATTTAACACGCTCGATTTGTTGGGTAAGGAAAAATTTATTCATGAAAATTGTTTTCCCTGCCCACCCTTAATACAAGTTAAGTTTTCGATCGATCTTGATATACAAAGTTAGTATTGCATTTAAATTTTAATGAAGTTTTTATTGCCAAGTTTTACAATTTAGCTTTTATATAGAACTAGTCTCCGTCCGCGTGTAATAAAAAAAAGATAATTATCCTGTGGTCTTCCAGACTATCATCTATGTCTACGCCAAATTTCATCAATATCCGTTCAGCAGTTTATGCTACAAACTCTAACAAACATCCATTCATCTAAACATTCGCATTTATAGTATTAGTATGATATTTAAGGGCGCGACCGTGCCCTTCCCCCCTCCCTACTTCCCCCAAGTTCATAAACATCATCATTTTGAAAAAAGTTTTATTTCGCACCAGTTTTCGCCCGCGAATTTTGTCGCGTGGTATAAAAACAAAAATGAGTAGCCTATGTGTTCTTCCAGACTATCCCCTACATCTATACCAAATTTCATCGAAATCAATCAGCCGTTTAGGCTACAAACTCTAACAAACATCCATCCATCTAAACTTTCCCGTATATAATGTTAGTATAATGGTATGATTTGATGTGAAATATTTTACTAAAACTAAAATAGACAGATGTTCAAAAACGTCCTACCAAAGTTTCTTAATAAAAAAATACATGAGCAAGCCCAATTCTTGTGACAAATTTAGTTTCCAATAAAAGGACGTACCAATAGAAATGCACACAGAGTAAACTTGAAAGCGTCTTTTATACGCTGACCCATTCGTTTCTCAAACATACTACGTGGGTAGTTTCCAAACTGTCTAGTTCCGAATGACTTAAGGCTTTTATCCATTTATCATCTCTTTCTATATATTTATACTAATATAATAAAGCGTATACACACACTACTTCGTGACGTAGGATGTCAGCAATCACAGCTTTTTTTGAATAATTCTTCCTTTAAAAAAAGCCCTACACTTACGACACGCTTTAGGCTATGTTTTCAAGCTATTAATCTTATGAGGTAAATAAATTGAAAAAATCCTCATGTGGGAAAAGGACCATAAACTACAAGGTAATTTTGACATTTGCAATTGAGAATTTGATTTTAAACAAGAGAAGTTTTTATAATTTCGTGCAGATAAAGCCTAGGAATAGCTAGTATGAAATATAGCTTCAGTAACTAATAAAAACAACTTCACTAATATGAGGACCAACAATTTTGTACCAAATCCAGAATACATCGTATTTACATAATTGAATTTAAATGAACTACAAAATGTTGCCAGACATAATAAAATTATTCACAGAGTCCCGTTAATGATCATTACCAACAAAAACTGTAATTAAGCCACATATTTCGACAAATATGTATGAAATGGTTTGCTGATGACGTAAGACTCATTTTAGTCTATCCAATCTGCAAGGCAGCATTTGTTCCGGGTATCTCCGGACTGGACTGATTTCAAGGCTTTGAATGGAAGGAAGAACGTGAGAATGTTATAGGGTAATATTTTTTTTTTTATATTCCACGCCGACTAGTCAGGTGACCACTAGTCTATACTTCTATACTAATTCTATAAAGAGGAAAGATTTGTATTTTGAAATAACTCAAAAACTACTGGGCCAATTTTAATAGTTCTTTCACCATTAGAAAGGTAATTTATCTGTCAGTTAGATAGGTAATATTTTAATTTCACGCGGACAAAGTCGGAAGCAGCAGCTAGTTTTCTAAAGCTACTTGAAAGTTAACGATCAAAAAACTTATCCAACATTATTTTTAAACGTACTACTTAGTTGTAGTTTCAGTTCCAACTACCACCTGCTTTACCCCACTTTAATTACCATCTTAATGTTCTTTTTAAGTAGTTTTTCTTTCTTAGTTAAAAACTTTCATTTGAAATAAATTTTACTGAATCGTTCTAGATATCTGGCAAGGAAATAAAAATAAACGTTTACAAAAAAAAATCATTTTTTAAAGTTAATTTGTGTTTCGAATATCCATCATCATGTTGTCAATTATATTTTTTTCTAGCTAAATACATCAAAAATGACTAGGGGAGACGAATTTGACAAAGGAGGGGACTCATATGAAGCGGACATATCCTCTTTCTGGGCGTCCTCTCCTCGGTTAAAGGTAGAGACGACGTTTCTGCAATTGAGGATGTTTATGGGCAACGACCGCTTCGCCATTTTGCCTTACGATATAAAAAGCAGCCATACAATTTCTTATATCATATTAAACAAAAACCTCTTATAATAGTTAAGGGAAACGTAAAATTTAATATAACGCATGAAATATTTCCCGTGTAATTCATAAAACAGTTTCGATGCCTGCGAATAATAGGGACATTGTGTTCAAGGTAAAAAAATTCGAATGTTTAAAATGTTTCACGAAATATCTGCCCCGTTTAATAAAATTAAATATATTCAGAGTATGCTTTTATTGCTGGAAAAAATGGACTGCTAAAGATCGGTACAGTTTAGTTTTTGACGTCGTCATACACATACGACAGTTTTCAGACGCCGTTAATACTTACCAAGCTGACTTGATACTGTCCATCTATAGCGGCTTTATCTTATTATTCTTATAAATAAATAGTTTTGCCCGCGACTATATCCGCGCGGAGCTAGAAAAAACAAATGCAAGTAGCCTATGTGTTCTTCCAGACTATCCTCTACATCTATGCCAAATTTTATCGAAATCATTTCAGCCAGTTAGGCTACAAACTCAAACAACCATCTATCCATTTAAACTATCACTTTTATAATATTAATATGAAATATGATTGTGAAGATATTTGGGTAAAGATAAGAAAATTCCTTTTATCGTTTCTGTCCTAATCTCACTATACTACTGTTACGAAAATGTTTCTGATAGACCCTCAGTTACGAGAATGTATTCGCAACTTCATTGACAAATGTATGAAATTGATTAGTGTACTTTACACCCGGTAGGGGCGCTTCACAAAGCTAATGCAAATATAGCGTTACGAAATCGTACTCATAGATATTCGTGATAATCCCTCAAGTTATACTCCAAATTTATCTATCGTTCATTTCAGTCCCTCCCTTTTTAATGTGTCACGGGAACAATAGCCAATATTTAAGCAAAAAATACAAGAAAATTATTAGTTTATATGTAGTAGAATCACAAGTAATAACTCATATTGATACAAGACCTTGTATAAATAACAAAACGGAACGATTTCCTTTGTTGAAATAAAACGTATTTACGCTAGTATACGTGTCACGAATTGCTGCGTTCGACCGAGGACTCGGCCGCTTACTTGCGGTGAATTTGATTTATAGCTAGTATTAAAGTCTATAGAATTCACCCTTATGTATACCCTTTTGTTAGTTTAAATATGTACCAAGTAATGTTTTACGACAATATATATAAAAACATGAATTTCCCTTAAGTTAACTCTTTGCTAAAAGTGAGAAGAGCGCCCACACCTTTGACTAAACTATTTTTCGATTGTCGATTGTTTCGTAGCCCATTCAAATTTAGTTGCACAATTAAAAATCGAGTAGTATGAAATCAAAGCGCGACTAAAAAGTTGTGCGATATTTTAGTCAAAGGTCTGCACGAGGTCTAAGTATAATAAAAGACTTACTACAGTCGTAACCCACAGACATATACAATTTAATATACGGCTCTTGTTTAACGAACTGGTACATGCTGAGTTTAAACGTGTTATAGTAATTTAATAAGAAAGGAAAATATTACCACATACATAAAACATTACTTAGGGCCTGTCCCACCATTGGCTGAAGGCTCAGATAGCTTAAAGGTTACGTCACTGTCAGATAAGAGAACAACAACCGATATTTCCATAACCTATTTTACACGTTAGATTATCAGACAATTTACTATTTGGTGAAATAGGCCCTTAATCTATACTTCCATAAAATTAAGAAGGAAAGATTTGTATTTTTGTTTGTGAAATAACTCAAAAACTAATTAGCCAATTTCAAAAATTCTTTCACCATTAAAAATCTATGTTATTAGTTAGTAACATAGGCTGTATTTTTTAATTTCAAACAGCAACAGCTATTACAAAATAAGGTTCTAAAAACAGGTAAGTTATTTATTCCGTAGTGTAATTAAATACATTTTTTATATATTCAACATTCTTTAAATGTTTTTTTTTCTTTTATGTATGAATTTCTCTACTATCTTACTGTAGTCACCATCTAAAATAAAATAAATCACATTGTAAACCAAGAAAGAAAATCGATTATAAAAGAAAACAGTGAATACTTTACTAACAATATAGGTATCATTTTAGTTACAAGTTTCAACCCGCTATGAACACATCATTTTGCATGAAAATTAATTAAAAACTGTACAATTTAGATATTGTAAGAATTAAGAAATATGTAACAAAGAAAGACAGCACTGTGACAAACATATTTTGTTGTATGACAATGACTTTGACAGTATTTTAATACAAAAAAAGGTTCTCTGTAAAATCTCACGATGAAGTTTACATTGGGATTTATATTATCCGACTAGCTTACGCTAATTATTACTAATAAAAATCATTTTTATTTCCACATAAAAATATACAGAGAGTTGTATAAAATAAAAAAAAATTAAAAGGGGGAGGCTCAGCTTAACCGATACTGACTGAGATCCAGTGTCGAACTGGTTTTCAGCCACCCCCTTACCAAGGTGTAAAGGGAGCGTAGATAGTCGGAAGTCGCTATACACTAGTAATATAAAAAAAAGATATACGTAGAAATATAAAAAATACGTAATTAAAATTCGTAATCAATTTATAATAACATTTCGCTAATTAACCTTCGATTCATCTTTCACAAAGTACAAAGAAGCTGTTTGAGAACTTAATTTTACCGAGTTTAATTTGGAAATACTTTTCGCTTTACGACTAAAAGTTTTCTCTTCGAAAAGTCAAAAGCTTATTATACTAAGTCGGTATTAAAATTAAATTTCAATAATTTATAATATCATCTAATCGGAAAATGCCATATTAAGCTGCACTAAGAGTTAGATAGTCACTAAAGGAGCCCTTAGTGAACTCGCGATTCCTCACCAAGTGAATTTAAACGCTTTGAACCGGACGACCGCGCCCATGTCTTAACTATCAACACTTAGTGTATATTTAGTACGAGAATGCCACGCTAAGGGACTCCATAAGTAATTATTGTATAGCTCTAAATGTGGTACGTATTTCCGATTATAAATTGTCTTAAACAAAACTACATTCAATTAGCAAAGATATCTTGACGTTCCAAAGCATTTTGTAAGTTTTAATGAGTTGTTTTCGAACTTCACGCCTTAAGGGTCCTGGAGAGTTGGGAATAGTTCGGTTGCAACTATTCGCTAATGGCAATCGTATTGTTTTAAATATAAAAACTTTAATAAAAAAGATTGTTAGCCGATGTTCAGATAGATGTTTGTTAGGACATATCTTACAAATGGAAATATTTTATTGGTAAGCGAATTACAAGTCATAATGCCAAAAAAAATAACTTAACAGATATTCTGAATTAAAATTGTGTTCATAGAACAAGCATGGTAGGAAAAATTCTTCGACATTATAAAAGGCTTTTTGTATTAGCCATGACTTAAGTTTATTTTTAATGACGCGAGGCTGGTAGCCTTTGACGTGGTCTGGCAGACGGTTGTAGAATGCGGGTCCCATGACGTGCGTGGATTTTTTGGTCTTGGCCAGTCGGTGCACCACTGTGTCTTAATAATCGGATCTCGATGAAATTTGGCATAGATGTAGAGGTTAGTCTGGAAGAGCACATTGACTACTTCTTACTCGTATTTTTTTAATTTCACGCCGAGTTGCGGACGAAAGCTAGTTATATAAGTTTACTTAGATATTTTTAATTGTGCGCGAAAGAAGTCACCGGGAAAAGTTAATTATCTGTTAGTAAAATAGGTTGGTTTTTTTACTATTTTTCAATTTCACGTGGACGAAGTCGTAAGCAAACAAGTAGCAAGCAACTGTTTAAAAAATGTTTAAAAAACAGGTTTAAAAAATTTCGTTACTATTTTATTATAAAAATATCTGAATATTGAATTATTGTAAGGTTACCTTTATAACATTGTTAGCGAAATGTAAAAGGTCGAACCGAATCGTGTAAAATACGGTCACATAAACAATGGTACTTTATGTGTTCACGAGTATAAATGGTTAATCATAAGGGTGCGTTATTGCACGTTGTGACCCCCGTAATAAAGGCATTGTATACGTGTTATTTATACAAACGTCGTGTTAAACCAGAAACGGTTTAATATAAATCAACACAAATTGCACACCGACTTTAATGAATAAAGTTTATTTAGTTTCGCTTTTATCTAAGTGACTTCGATTTAAGTTGATCTGTGTTATGTTTAAATACAGTTTTGTCTATTATAATTGCTTGATCCAGTTACTTCTTATGTTTACATTTACACTAGTTTTCGCCCGCAACTCCACACGGATGGAATTAATAATATCAAAAATAGGTATCTTATATGTTCTCGACTATCTACATACTCGTATATGCCAAATTTCATCAAGATCCGATCAACTTTTTAGGCGACAAACTTTAACATCCATCTATCTAGGCCTAGGCCTATCTGAGGCCAAGTTTAGATCCCTTTCCATTACCACCTTTTTCTAAGAGGAAAGGATTGCAAGGAAGAGTGCATTTGACGGTGGAAGAGACGCATAGGAACAGGAAAAGTCCTCTTTATGCGCGTCTCCTGCTCCGTCAATTAAGGGTAGGCAACGTATCTTCAATTGTGGATGTGTATGGGTAGCGGTCGCTTTCCATTTCGGTGGATTCAGGTGGCTGCTGACTTGCTTCATCATCATATTCGTAAGATAATATATTTTTATTCAACTAAACTGATTTTATTAAAAAAATACTCTTTACAAAGTTATCTACCAATCAATATCGAATTTCGTTTTAATCTTTAATGTATATTGCTCATAAACATTCAACGTGAATTGAAAGGCCCGATCGTCGATTGATATTTGTGGCAAATAAAATTTAAGCTAAGTTAATGGGTTCACCATTCGAACGATGATTTCCCAAAGGTTTTCGATTAAATAGAAAACAGCGAATTTTAAAATGAATGCACATATGAATATTAGAGTATTTTTCTAATGTAGTTTTGTAATTCGTGGAGACGACATACGTACGCGACATGTGCAGCGCCCCTATCGGATGAAAAGTACACTAAAAATCACATACAAGTCAATCTCAATACGAATACTGTCTCACTTTATTACTAGGCCTTCTAAATTTTAAGTGCGAACGTACATTTTTGTGCGATTGTCGATTGTTTTACAACCAATTCAACTGTTTATAAGCTCTTAGATATCAAAGCGAGACTATAGTTGTGCAATAGTTTAGTCAAATATGTGACTATACGCTGTCATTAAACTTTTCTCCACTGACGGACCTAGCGGACGAAGTCCGCTACATGGTGTTAAAGGCTTTATAGCAATTTGTTAAAACTATTTTTGTTTTTTTATTTATTTTTCATGTTCTTGTTTTGTATTGTGTTTGTTTATAATTGTATGGTTTTGGTATTCACTTTAAGATATTATAGGACTGGCATGTTCTAAGGAACAAAAGTCCCTTTAAAAAACAAAGAGAAAAAAAATTAAACTTTTTAAAAGCTGTCTAGATAACTTCTTGTTACTAGATATTTTGAATATTCAAAATTTGGGGTTTCACGCCATTTTGAGCGTTTACGCTTTTAGAATATCAACGAACTAAATTAAACTGAAAATTTTCTGTTTCGATGTGTGTTGGGAATAAAACACGTCCGAGCGGCGCTAATACGGGTTAGCAAAACACTGAAGTTTCAATACATTCAAAAAATAGGAGTGTCTGTTTGTAATAAAAAATCCAGTTTTCAGGGAGGTGATGTATTTGCGTTGCTGATATCGAAAATCGCATTTAAAAATTTCTTGTCTGTCCGCAAGCTGCGTTTGTTCCGACTAATCTCCGAAACGGCTGGGCCGATTTCGACCAGACTTTCACTGAAGGGTAGCTGACGTAGACGGGCATTTTATAGGCTACTTTTTTGTAATACACTCAATGCTAATTAATTATTTGTAAGAAGAGGCGGAGTTTGTCTCGCAATGAACGATTTTTTTCAAAAATGGAACACCGCAAATTTCCGCGATTGTACACGAGATTATAATAAAAATAATACGTTGAAAAGGTCGTGACAACATTTAAGAAATCTCTTCCACAACGTTGACAAATGGGTTCAGCTCACTTTTACGTCAAATTTCTTCGTTATTGAAAAATATTTCGGTGACTCCTTTGATCATTCTAGAGAATACAAGTTATTTTTTCATGAAATTCTTTCTTTATTTATTTAAGTATGGTCAAATGGGTCATAAAATAATTGTCATAAAATAAATATTTTAGATTCTTTCAACGAGTAATGGGGATGTTTCCTAATGTTACAAATTCAAATAAAGTTATGTTTAATATTTTAAAGACAGTATTTTAAAACCTATAATAACATTTGGAGACCTTAAATGTTTGTCTCCATTGAAATATAAATTAAAAACGCTGCAATATTTTTTACCCTCCATTACTCTATCTCAAACACCAATCAGAGCTCAGTGACGTAGCTTCTTCGCAAACAACATGGCAGTGTGACCAGCTTCGGTGAATGTCAGTGCATTTTGTAGTTATTATTTTTTTTAATGATTATAATAATTGAGTTTGCGTGTGTTATATTATGAGGACTCCATTATTAAGTGTTTTTATATTTACGACATATTTTTCGATCACTATGACGAAAAAAAAATAGCAAAAGTTATTTGAATAGCTAATTCAATTTACGTCTGGTCACTTTGAATGACTTTGACAGACCGCGACGCGAGGTTTGTTAGCAAAGAAGTGACGTCATGTCATGAGGCGTTTTCGCGGTCTTTCGAGAAGTTGTTTTTAGTTAAGTGTTTTTGTAATTAAATGTTGCGTATATGATTTTATTATATTTTTTTTCTTGTTTAGATATGGTTTATCTACATAATAAAAGCAATTCCAAAAATTAGGAAACATCCCCATTTTCGTTTTTCAATATTATTTAGTCACCTTTATACCAAAGATAAAACAGAATTAATAAGTTTTTCAGATTTATTACAATGCTTATGATTAATGCGAAGTGAAATCGTGTATTTCAAAATGAAGTTATCAGTCCTTCCATAGAGTAAAGTATCTTTAGACGTACCATTCGATTTAATTATCATCTCCCTGGCTTTATATCACTCAGGTAGAGAACTCGACTAACGAGGTCTTATAAATTACTATTTAAATTTAAATAATAAAATGATTATTTTCCAAAATACCGGTAAGAAAATAGACTCTGTTAAAATTTAAGAAATAACTACAGAGTTAAAATTGCGTGAT